AATTATCTCCAAGGACAGAGGCAAAACTCCATTGAACACATGGCAGCAAAAGACAATAAAACACATAAAAACATATAACTGTGCAGCCATTGCACAAAACAGGTACATTCAACATATCCCCAGATAGCTCAGATCTGAGCGCACATTATTACTGAATGGCGCTCAGAGCACACACATACAGTTCAATTGCCATGGAGCCAAAGTCTTTCCCATAGTCTTTCATTATACGAATGGGCTCCATGGCATAGCTATCTGGGGTATCACCGCTCAAACAGGGCAAGCACCAAATGACCCGGCTTTCATGTCTTTGCAGGGGAAAATCAAGCCTTTTAACATGGGGCCATAATCCAAAGGCAACAGGCGAGCAACCAGGCTTCTCCAATGCAATGTGGCGAGATTGGTCTCGTCACAATACATATCCCCCTCCCTCAGCTTTATTGCAAGCCTATCTGACCCTCACATATCTTTATTCAACAGCCTGATTTCAGAATTTTCAAGACCCAATACTGCTGTAAGAAACTCTGATACCCGTCCTTTTTCCCAGTTTAGCAATGATCTGTCTTCTCCTTCTCTTTATTCCCTCCTTCTCCCTCAGTATAAAAGCCTCTTCTTACACCAACTTCACTCATCCCCATCCATATTTACATATGCCCCTCTCTGCTACACTCCCCCCTTCTCTCATCTCATGCTTTGCACTCACTTTTCTACTGTCTCACTCCTACCCACATCCTAGACCCCATGCATACAAAACCCATTCACACCTCCTGTCACTTTCTCTCCTCCTGCTTCGAGCAGCTGGTGATGTCTCTTCCAATCCAGAGCCCTTTACCTTCTTTCCACACAGTAAGAAAACCAGAAACCCCACAAACCTCATCACAATACCCTGCCTTTTACCCTCACCTACCAACATTGAGTATGCACCTTGGAACGCCCGCTCCACCTACAGTAATTTAAAATCAACAGCCATACACAACCTTTTCATCTCAAACTCACTCACATTACCTGCACTTACAGAGACCTGGCTGTCCCCCTCTGATAGCACTACTCCTGCCTCTTTATGTTTTGGTGGGCTACAATTCTATCACACTCCCAGACTCAACTGTAAAGGAGGTGGTGTAAGCACCCTTCTCTCCCCTCAATGTACCTTTCACCCAATAATAACTCCCCCTGCCCTATCCTTTTCTTCTTTTGAAGTTCACACTGTCCGCCTATTTAAACCCACTCCTTTAAGAATGTCATCTACCGCCCCTCCCTCCCCTCGTCATCCTACGCTATTCATTGAGCACGTTTCTTCCTGGCTTCCCCACTTCCTCTCATCTAGCACTCCTTCCCTTATACTTGGGGATTTCAATATCCCAATCAACAACCCCAACTGCACTCTGTAACCTCTTCCTTTGGCCTTACGCAATGGTCCAATTTAGCAACCCATACAGCAGGAAACACTCTTGATCTTGCCTTCACCTATCTCTGTACCGCCTCTAATCTCTCCAATATTCCTTTTCCTCTATCTGACCACCATCTGCTGACTTTTGACATCGGCATACCTAAGACCCAATTGACACCACCATCTGAACATCAATCTCACAGAAACCTCCAATATCTTGACCTAGAGCATTTCTTTTTTTTTTGTTATTCAAGGTTTTTATTCATAGCATTCCATTAGTACAGGTAAAGTGTAGCAGTAACAAGACTGAATATATTGCTGTGCGGGCCAGCCAGGTATGCAGGTCTGGTTGCAGTTAACAACGTACAGTATATGCATTACAGATGACATATTTGGCATTGTCAACATTACGGTGGTGTGCGTAATTTGTGGGGTAGTGTGTGCGGCGAGGGTTAATCGTGCATCGCGGCAGCAGTGTAGTGCATTTTGCTGGCAAGGTGCGGGCTGAGGTATGGGTCTTGTAACTTGTGATTTGATGTTCACAGACAAGGAGGGGTATCTTGTGGGCAGCTGGGGGTCGTAGTCCGGGGCTCTCTCTGGTTGGGTCTGTGCTGGGCCCGTCGGGTGGGATCTGGGGGCTATATGACGGTAGGTCGGTGCGCAGTGTGGCCTTGAGGGCCATCGCTGACTCACTGTCAGGTGGGTGTATTGCCGTGCGAGTCTTGTCAGTCCTGTCTTCCCTCCTCTGGTGCCCGTGGGGCCCATTCGTTTGGGAACTGTAGTCTGGTGTGCTTGTCTGTTGGGGTATTACCGTTGTATCTTGCGGTTGTCCTTGTCGTTGTTGTACAGAGTGTGGTGTCAGGAGGGTCGTGTTCAGGTGGACAATGCTCCGGGTCGTGAGGTTTGAACGACAGTTAGCGTTGTGTCTACGGTTGTTAGCGCCAGCTAAGGTCACGTGTGGTTGTTGTGTTGTGTGGTTGTTCTTCCCAGTCAGGTGGGGGAGGGGGGAAGATGGTGGAGGAGGTGGTGTCCATGTGGGCAGTTCGTGTCCCTGTGCTGTTGTTTCAGTAGCAAGGTGTCTGTGTTACGGGGGTGGTTCGGAGGGGTAGACTGGTGGGGGAACGAAAGTGTAGAAGATGAGGGAGAGGTGGGTAAGGAAGGAGTCTGGAGGGTCTGGGGGGAAGGAAAGGGGGGTCCGGTCCCAGGTCCCAAACCCAGCCCCCCTCACTCCCCATCCCCCAGCCGGGACCAGGTCATCTTGGGTGGGTTGCACCGATGTCCCTGCCTCCAAGGTCTCCATTGGTCCGTCGAGAGTGTGTGTCCTAGATCCCTTTCCCAGTACTTAGTGAAGTAAGGAAGGGGTGCGTCTGCAGGAGGAGTGATTAGCATGTGGTATAGGATCAGGATCGAGATTGCATGTGGGGGAGTTCGTGCAGAAGCCCTCGAACATGGAGAGCGGTCGTGATGCAGATGTCTAGGCCCGGTATACTCTTCAGGAACCCCGTCAGTTGGGGCTATGTCTTTGTGTGCTGCTATCCTCTTCCACATGGCCATCGTGGCAGTTAGAGTTGGGTGTCCGATCAGTAATCCACCGGCCATGTTTTTCGGTAGCCAATGGAGGAGGGACAGGGCTGTCGGTGAGAAGCTGGCCTCTATGGACATCCAGAGTTTGTCTTTCGGGTTGTGTGTCCATTCGATCAACCTCTGGAGGTGGACAGCTTGCCGGTATTTTGTTAGGTCCGGCAGTCCCAACCCCCCCTTGTTGCTTGGGCTTGGTGAGGGTTGCAAAGTTCAGTCTCGCCTGTCTGTGGTACCAGACATAGCTCGCCAGTGTTTTACGGGTTTGCAAGAGAAAGGTTTTGGGGATATGGATTGGTAGGGTTTATAAGAGGTACAGGATTCGCGGGAGTATATTCATTTTGAGTATGCTGATCCTCCCCAGCCATGTAATATGTGGAAGCTGCCACGAGTCTAGGTCTTTCTGTATCCGTTCAAGGAGCGGTGGGAAGTATATTCGGTAGATGTTTGATAGGTCTGCTGACAGCCAGATCCCCAGGTATTTGATTGCTTCCTTATACCAATGGAAGGCTCAGATTGCAGTGTGGTTGCCAGTGTTAGGGGGCAGTTCACATTGAGAATTTCCGATTTTGCTAAGTTTATTTTCAGTTTAGACAATGTGCTGTATATGTCGAATTGGTGCATAAGTTTTCTAAGGGAGGAGGCTGGGTTGGTCATGGTGAACAGAAGGTCGTCCACATATGCAGAGACCTTACTGACGCCCCACGTGCCCCCTATTCCTGCTATGTGGGGTTGTGCTCGTATCGCGTCAAGGAACGGTTCCAAGCTGATGACAAAGAGTAGGGGCGATAATGGGCACCCCTGTCTGGTGCCATTCTTGATCTTAAATGGTTCAGAGAGAATCCCGTTGACCTGCACTCGGGCTGCCGGGGTGGTGTATTCGTGCCAGGATGTGCGGTCCTAGTGTAGACCGCAAGAAGGACCAATCAACCCTGTTTAACGCCTTCTCCGCATCGGTCAAGACCATTAGAGCGGGGGAAGGTCCCCTCCGTACTGCATGGATGAGAGTAAGTGTTTTGATTGTGTTATCCCTGGCCTCTCGACCCTCAACAAAGCCTACCTGGTCAGGGTGGATAAGATTCGGTAGTATGGGCTGCAGGCACAGGGCCAGGATTTTGGCGAACAGTTTTAGGTCGGCGTTCAACAGGGACATCGATCGGTAGCTGACACAGGAAGAGGGGTCTTTTCCTCCGCCGTGGGTGGAGTTAAATAAGGTGAGCAGATGTGAGGTGAGGATGTCTGCGAACATTTTGTAGTACTTCGCTGTGTATCCATCGGGTCCTGGGCTCTTTCCCTGTTTGGCCAGTTTGATGGCCAGGTGTTTTTCTTCGCTCGTGATATCTTCCTCTAGTGCGGTTATGTCCTTTGGCGTCAGCGTGGTGGTTGTGTTCTGCGCGATGTATGCTTTTTGGCGTGCTATAAATGGCTCTTCCCCTTCGTCCGTACATGTGGTGTTCGGGGGTAGGCAGTATAGTGAGGAATAATATTGTCGAAAGCCCTCTTCTACGACCTTCGGCGTTAGTAGTGTTTTCCCCGCAAGGGAGATCTTTTGGACGTGGCTCTTTTGTCTCCGTGCTCTCAGTGCCCTAGCAAGCAATTTATCACTCTTGTTTCCGTATTCGTAAAAGGTTCTTTTTGTGAGTTGGAACTGGAATTGTATTTTTGATGTTAGGCAAGAGTTTGTGTGTGTCGCCGCGTAGGTCCTGCTTGTGGCGTGTTTCCAGTTGTGCCAGTTGGGTGGCGAGATGCGCTATTTTCTGGGCACATTTTTTTTTCAAGCAGGTGCCATGTTTGATGAGGATCCCTCTAATTACATATTTGTGTTCCTCCCATATTGTCGGCAGTGAGCTGTCCGTTTTCGTGTTGGTGAGAAAGTAGTGTTCTAAGGCGGTTCGGATTTCTGTTTGTATCAGCGGGTCTTCTAGGAGTGATTCATTGACTTTCCACGTCCATTGTGAATGGAAGGGCCTGGGGTTTTCGATGGTAATGATTACGGGCACGTGGTCCGACCATGTCATTGGGGCTATGCGGGCGTAGATCAGTGCATCCAGGTCTCTGTGTTGGGTGAAGAAGTAATCAATCCTCGAGTAGGATTTGTGTGGTGTTGAATAAAAGGTGTAGTCCTTTTCTGTGTAGTGGAGAGTGCGCCAGCAGTCTGCGAGCTGATGGTTGGAGGGAGGGTCCTCATGCCCCTGAGGACGTGGTCCAGAATCGTGGAGCTTCCTTTCGACGTGTCCACTCTGGGATCCAGGGGGGCGTTGAAGTCACCTCCGATAATGACAGTCCCTTCACTGAACGCGTCCAGGGCTTTTAAGGCAGAGACCAGGGACGCATTTTGACCTTTGTTCTGGAGATATAAGTTTGCGAGCGTGACTCGAGAGTCGCCTATATACCCTTTGAGGAAGAGGTATCTCTCCTCCCGGTCCTTCTCCTCCGCCTCCAGGTGGAACTGAATATCTGCCGAAAGTAGTATGACCACTCCTTTGGATTTGGTTGAGGGGTTGTGCGCGAAGTGGCCGGTTTGGTAGTATTTATTGGAGAATTTGGGGGCCTGAGTAGTGAGGAAGTGTGTTTCTTGGAAGAAGGCGATCGATATCTTTAGTGCTCGGAGCTCATGTAGCGTCCTTGCTCTTTTTTGTGGGGAGTTTAGGCCCTTCGCATTGTAGAGGTTTCATGCCCTCCCCCATGAGCCTGATAGGACCAGGGGTGCGGGGGGCAGGAGGGGATGACCCCATGTTGTGGGGTAGATGGGTGTCCGGGAACGTCGTCCTGCGAATCCACCTCTCAGGATGTTGGCAGTAAACCCGTGGGGAAGGTGGCGTTGAGTTGGTTGGGTCACCAGCCGTTGTCGTCTCAGTGGGGTAGTGTCACATTAGGTCTGCTTCTGTCCCTAGCTGCCCATTATCTGTGTATTGTGGCACCCAGCGGAGGTTGGACCATTTCAACGGTCTGGGTTGTATGTAGATGAGCATCCGTATTAGTATCTACGTGGTGCGTGCCTCAAAGCATACGGTATGCAGGTGCGTTAGGAGCGTGTGTGAGAACATCATGCAAAGTAGGAATGTGCAGTTTGGACATCATGAAAGGGAACAATTGCATCATTAAAAACAGGTAAATTCAGTTAGAACATGCCCTTGTAACATTTAACAATTAACGTTTAACATTGGTGCCTTCCAGAGTGGCTCTCCTAGTGTGGGCGCCATGTAGTGTGTTTGCGCCTCACAGTGCTTTGCTAGGCAGGCTAGGTAAGAGGCGGAGAGTGGAAAGAGGGGAGGGAGACGAGGAGGGAGGCAGGGAAGAAAAGGAAGAGAGAGAAAGAGAGAAAAAAAAGAGGGGGGGACCTAGAGCATTTATCCACTAATCTCCAAACTCTCTGTCCTAGCTCTGCAACCTCCTTCTACAATTCCACCCTCTCCTCTCAACTAGACATCATGGCACCTCCTACATTTAAATGCAGCAAGCGCCCTCAACAACACACCAAGCTGACTCGATATTTCCAAAAATGCTCCAGAACTCCTGAACGCTGTTGGAGAAAGTCTCACTGTGTGTCTGACTTTCTCCACTATAAATTTATGTTGCGCTCATAGAGCTTGGGTCTTTACTCTGCAAAAGTAAATTACTTCAATACCCTCATAACCACACTCTCCCGCGAACCCAAACGACTATTTCACACATTTAACTCTCTTCTTCGCCCTATTGTTCCTCCTTCACCTACTAACTTGACCGCTTCAGACTTTGCAACTCACTTCACTGTCAAGATCTCTACAACCAGGGAAGAGATTTCTCATCTTTCTTCTTCCCCTTACAATACCTCCCCTAACCTCACTCCCTCTGCTGCTCTATGTTCATTTGCACCCGCTACAGCGGATGAGGTTTCTGCTCTGTTCCAGTCCTCCCACCCCACCACCTGCTCCCTAGATCCAATTCCCTCGCATCTCATCCGTACTCTGTCTGCATCTCTTTCTCTACCTCTCATTAAAATTCTCAATCTCTCTCTCTCCTCTGGCATATTTCCATCACCCTTCAAACATACAACTATAACCCCAATTCTAAAGAAGCCCAACCTTGACCCTAACTCCCTGTCCAACTACCGTCTTATCTCGCTACTCCCTTTTGCATCCAAGATCCTTGAAAGAGTTGTGTATGTGAGATTGACAGACTTCCTTGAGTCCAACTATCTGCTAGACCTGCTTCAGTCTGGTTTCCACACTATACACTCTATGGAAATGGCACTGACCAAAGTATCCAATGATCTACTCACTGCAAAATCTCATGGTCACTACTCTATCCTAATTCTTCTTGACCTTTATGCGGCTTTTGACACTGTTGATCATCAACAGCTTCTTCTCAATCTCGGCAACATCACTCTACAAGATATTGCTCTCTCCTGGTGCTCCTCCTACCTCTCCCAGCACTCTTTCAGTGTTTCTTTCTCTGGCTCTGCTTCTTCTCCCCAACTCCTGTCTGTTGGTGTCCCCCAAGGTTCAGTCCTTGGTCCTCTAGTGTTCTCCATCTATGCTGCCTCCCTTGGTAAACCTTTGGCTCCTTTGGCTTCCAATATCATTTCTATGTGGACAATACGCAAATCTATCTGTCCTCTCCTGATCTCTCCCTGTCCCTCTTGACTAGAGTCTCTGACTGCCTCTCTGCTATTTCTAACTGGATGGCTGCCCACTTCCTTAAACTCAACTTGACCAAAACTGAAATTCTGGTCTTTCCTCCCTGAAGTGTTGCTACTCCTGTGTCTGTCTCCCTCCAAGTCAACAGTGCTAACATCAGCTCCACCACGCAGGCTCGCTGCCTAGGTGTTCTCTTTGACTCTGACCTCTCCTTCATGCCTCATGTTCAGTCTATATTGCTGAATCCTGCCGCTTCCATCTCAAAAACATTGCGCGCATCCGATCCTACTTAACGCCAGATGCGACTAAGGTGCTGGTCCATTCCACTGTCATTTCTCGCCTTGACTACTGTAATCCGCTACCAACTTGCACCGTTACAGTCCATAATGAATGTGGTGGCACGGCTCATCTTCATGTCCGCCCGCACCGCCCAGGCCTCACCCTTCTGTCAGTCCCTACATTGGCTTTCTGTAAGATATAGGGCTCAATTTAAAATTTTGGTTCTTGCTTTCAAATCTCTACATAATGCTACTCGCACCTATCTATACTCCCTTATACACAAGTATGTCCTGTCTAGGCACTTACGATCTGCTGCAGACTTACGTCTATCTTCTGTCCGTACTCCCACCTCTGATGCTAGTGGCTTCAAGACTTCTCGAGGGCTGCACCGTTCCTGTGGAACTCACTTCCTTGCTCCATTAGATGCTCCCCCAGTCTCCACTCCTTCAAAAAATCATTTAAAACCTGCTTCTTCGTAAAAGCGTATTGATTAAACTGTAAATAGTTCCCAACTGATTCATCTCTTGCAACTGTCATTAGTCTAATACTATCCTTACCTTTTGTGTCACTTAATCCCATTCCCTCTAGCATGTAAGCTCATTGAGCCCTCAACCCCTCTGTTCCTGTGTGTCCAACTTGTCTGGTTACAACTACATGTTTGTTCGTCCACCCACTGTAAAGCGCTGTGGAATTTGTTGGCGCTATATAAATAATAACTTAATAATAATAATAATAAGTAAAATAGTTTTTTAATAAGATATAATTTAGAGTCACCTATTACACATATGCCCTAAAGTATGAATTTATCAGTGTCTTGTAAAACATAGCATCAGTGAACAGGTTCTTTCAAGTTTTTGAAACTTGAAAGAATTGGGTGATCCTAGAAGGCTGCCATATACTTTTTTTCTCCCCTTAGTCTGCTAGGGGACAATTCCAGAAGCAGCTTGTAGGCACACTACAGATTTCATGTCAGTCAGGACCATGGATAGCTCCACAAGACATGCTATCCAAAGATACTAGCCAACTGCCCAGGAGATGTGAACACAGGAATTTGCCCTCAAGCAACAATCTAGATGCTAAGTCTTCAACAAAGTTCTTCATTGCCTGGAGAGAGTTGGGAGATAATTCACGTTCTGGCACTGTTGACCCCTTTATAATACCATTAAAAAACCATAAGGTAGAGATATATAAGATCTATGATATCAGCACCAACGGTCCTGCCAGCTGCACCAACAACATCCTCTTAAAGGACCACTATAGGCACCCAGACCACTTCAGCTTAATGAAGTGGTCTGGGTGCCTGGTCCATCTGGGATTAACCCTTTCTGCTGTAAACATAGCAGTTTCAGAGAAACTGCTATGTTTACCTATGGGTTAATCCAGCCTCTAGTGCCTGTCTCATCGACAGCCGCTAGACGCGCTTCCGCGCTTCTCACTGTGATTTTCACAGTTAGAAGACACCAGCGTCCATAGTAAAGCATTGATATTGCTTTCCTATGAGACTGGCTGAATGCGCGCCCAGCTCTTGCCGCGCATGTGCATTCAGTCGATGACATCAGAAGAGGAAGGAGAGTCCCAGCGCCGAGGGAGCACGGCGCTGGAAAAAAGATAAGGGATTAACCCCTTCCTCCCCCTTCAGCGCCACGGGTGTGGGACCCTGAGGGTGGGGGCACCCTCAGGGCACTATAGTGCAAGGAAAACGAGTTTGTTTTCCTGGCACTATAGTGGTCCTTTAACCTTTACATGCTGTAACATGCACCAGATGCAGTAGTCATTATGGTTCTTGGAGTGCCTCTTACCAAAGAAAAGTTATAAAATAGGTAAGTTATATTTATATAAAAAATTCAAACAGGGATATTCGCTAAAATTATTATTATTATTATTATTATTATGTTATTAACCCCTTATTATTATGTTATTAACCCCGCAGCTTCAGAAACTGGACTTACCCTTAAGGACACAAGACATTTTTGCATTTTTTGCTGTTTGTGTTCAAACGCAATTTGCATCTCTGTCACATATTATATACTATTTTTTAGAGGGCAAAGGGGGCTTTAATTTATTGTGACATATAATTTAGGTGTTACATTCTAATTAATTATAAAACAAATGCCAAAAAATAGGGGGGGAAATGTTTTTTTTCACAGTTTTGGCAATAATAGCCTGTGCATAATATGTCCAGCTTAGAAAAAGTAATTCAAAATAAATTCATTTATGTGTCTTGATTTCTAGAGTACATCATATGTATAGGATTTCAGCTAATTTTGAAAGTTACAAAATAAAAGGACTAAAATACAATTTCAATGTGAAGTAATTTCAGAAGTTGGTAAGTTTGTCTTGTAGGTTTAGTAGCCATTACAGACAATTGCCACACAAAAATATATATATTTATATAAAGTAGACATCACAGGCTATTTACCTAAGGTTATTTGGACACTTTTTACATAGCAATTTCATCGCCAATCTCTGCTAAATATTGGAGTAAAATTGTGTTTTTTCTCTATTTTGGCATATACATATATAACGAGATTTTTGTAATGTATATTTCGTAAAGCTGGTGTGTACAGAACCCCATATTGTAACATCTGCTGAGTATAATGATACCTACATTGTATGCCTTTGGCACTATTCTTTGAAGTTACAATGCCATATAAGAGACAAGGCTATTTCAGTTTCTATAGTTAGAATTTTTATAGATGGATTTGATGGGCCTATGTCTCATTTTGGGGTATTTATATTCGTGTGAGTATTCAAATAACTCCACAAAAGCCTTCCATTTGATAAAGTAGACACCCAGGGGTGTATATTGTGCCTTAACTTGTCGCCATTTTACCACC